CACTGCCGGCAGCACTCAGTTCATCCTCACTGTCAAGAACAACGAGACAAAGCACATTGCAGGAATCCTGCGAGATGTAGGCAGCGTTTTGTAAAACGTTGTATGAGGACGGGCAACGTTCTTTAAAAAGAGATTGCACCTCTGGAATAAAAGCCAGAAAACTAGAGCAAGGTTCCATAGTGCATTGCGCACAGAATAAACGTTTTTCAGAAAAGGAAATGCAAGATACTGTTTACATTGAGCTATGGTCGCGTTGCTAAAAACCTTCATAAAAACCTATATAGTAAAATACCGTATTAAAATATAGTGCATATAAACTTGAATTTCACTGTGTTTTTACATCTATGTAGGGGCTGTTTTGTATATTTTATATATTAGAATGGCAGCAACATCACAATTTATGGTTGTCACTCAATGTAAAAAAGACTTAATTATTTTTCATAGCAAATTTAGTATTTTTCCTAGTAATTATTACTGTTTATGTTACTATAGTTTAACAGGCATTTGCTGTTAATCACTGAAGAGGACCCAGACTAGTGCTTGCTACTTCTGTTCTTTACAGTCTGTTGGATTCTTCGGAGTATAAAGTGCTAAGAAGCAGGGTATGTATTGCCTTTCTCTGTGTATACATCTATCTATGGTTAAAGCTGACAAACTTCAAAGTTTCCGAAGTTGTTGAAAAGTGAGCAACTGGATTATTTACTTCATAGTCTACTGAGATTAGGTGGTTCTGAAAAACTGAAGAGGACAACAGTCTGCACTGCGACTGGGGTGAAAACTTGTCTGAATCGGCATCCAAACTTACACTACCAGTCTTTTTACCTTTTGTACAGAACTATGACTAGAATAGTGTGGCTGCATGGCAGTAATACTGCTATGAAATACTTATATTTAGGTGATCTGCCAGGCAAAAGACCCCATAAATCGCAGGAAAAGGAAAGAAAAGAAGATTCAATTATAAAGCATTTCAGTTCATGAAAATTTCTTTTAAAGTCATGGCTTAGGTGAGGTGACAGCTCTGTAGGCCCTAAACAAATTAACTTCTCTTCAAGGATAGGCTTTATTAGATAGTGTAGCACTTTCTGTTAAGGAAAAAAAACCAACCCAGAATGTGTCTGAGACTTCTTTGGAGTCTCACAGCCTAAGGGCTGAGTAAACCCTGATGGTATCCATATTTTGGCTGGAAAGGTTACAGCACCAAGCCCAGTCTTGGAGCTTCTCACAGCTCTCCTTGGTAGAAGCAGTCCGTTAGATAGCAGGGTTCTGCTGTTTACGCTGTCAAATAGGGGAAAGGCATTAGGGAGCACTCGCATAAGTGCTCAGCTATTGTCTGTAGGAGTAGCAGTAATCACAACCAAGGGTAAGGACTCTGAGGAATTGTTTTAGTTATTAAATTCTTTTACTTGGCCCAGGTTCAGCCGGAAGGGATTGTTTGGTTGGATGTTCAGTGCTAAACCTCTTGTGCATCTGAACAAGGAAGGGATTCAGATGAATGCTTTGAGGTGTTTCTGACCAACAGAAAATAAACTGTGGCAGAAAAATGAGAATTCTCCAAGCATGTCTCTAAAATACAACATTTTGGACAAGCTCATTACCTGTTAATTTTTTATGTTAGTGTGTTTGGCTTAGAAACCAAATAGGCTATTTTTCCAGCACGTAGCAATTCCATTCTGTGATCTGAAACTCTCCAACTTTTTCCATCACTAGTAATGATGAATTCTAATTACATCTTAGTTGACAACTTTGTTGAGGAACGGCTGACTAGAACCCATTCCTGTCCTGAATAGGCATTTTGGCTCTGAAGGGATGACAGAAATAGAAAAGATAGTTTTGTCAGAAGTGCAACACAGTGTGTTTATTTTCAATGGCTCCCTTAACTGCGAGAGGCTTCCCGCCTCTCCTGCTACTGCTTTATACTGTCACATGTACCTTGGTATTTCATCTGCAAAGCTGAGCTGCACAGGACAAAGTAGGATCCTCTGTTCTTGGTATGCATTGCCAAATCACCCCCTCCCCCATAAGTACCAAGTGTTTTCCTCAAGATGCAGAATAGCAAGGGTAGCTTACTATGCATCACTTCTCAAAACTGTTTATATAAACTGAATATCTTTAATACAGCTGTTTACAGAGGTGCCAAGACTTTATTCTGTTTTTATTGTACTTTAGGTAACTTAAATTTACTGTTGAAGGTGTGTATATATGGACATATTGGCAAATTAAACCTCAAGAAAATATGTAGTTGAGCTTAGCAGCAACTAAGTTACTCATGGACCCTTACAAGTGTCATTACATATTAAAACTTTTTTAGTTGAGCAAACAAGTCTTCTCTTGCCATAAGTGCTAAGGTTATGATTTTCCTGTCCTACATGGGATTGTGTTGCCATGAACCAGTGTACACCATGAGTACATAGCACGAGTGCATGCTCTTTCAGCTTCACTGATACTCAAGATTTAATTCCCTCATGATATGAGTAATACTGTGATGGCAAATATGGACTTCTCATATTGTGAGAATAACGTGGCATTTCTGTAGTATTTCTTAAGCACTGCACAGCCATTGACTCTGTCACAGAATCACAGAATCACAGAACGTTAGGGATTGGAAGAGACCTCAAAAGATCAGTTCTTGTTCTGTGTAACTACTTTCCCAGCATAGGAAGTCAGAAAGGCTACATGGGGAGCCCATGTTGGAGAGAGTGCCCCAGCCTTCTGGACTGGCAAATTCTTAATTTCTTTTTAAGAAAAGCTCAATAATGCAAATTTTCTGCATTTTGCATGGTATTTTTTTCGGCTTTCTTGTTACTACTGTGAAGGCATTTTAACCTTACCTCTCTGCATTTTATAGGAGGAATGCAGATCTGAATTGCACTCAACATTTTTATAAATGTTGAAAGTCGCAATGTATGAGACAAATTAGTCTATTTATTACATACATGGAGTTGGAATAGAGTAAATCCATAATCCATCAGGACATGCATTTTCGTCATAGAAAGATAAATGCAAAAGTAGTGTAATTGTGTCTAGTGTAATTCTTTGGGCATTTCTCTGTTTCACTGTTGATTTAATAAGTTATATCACTACTTGACTGCTAAATATACTGTCCAAATAATTTTAGTAAATGCTACTTTTAACTACATCCTCCACCACCAAATGGGAGAGAAACTGCAAGTTTTCAAGCTGCTTTTAACTTTTCCCAAAGATGTTTTGATGTATGGTGCAAAAGATTTATAAATAAATGCTAAAGTTAATTGGAAAGGGAGACAAAGCAAGACATCACTGGAACTATATATGCAGCTAAAATGCTTTTAAACAAGACACAGTTATTTAATGCTCCAACGTATATAGACTTAAGGTTTAGAAACAATATGCATGTGGTCGCTCAGGAATTTAAAACCAACACTCTCAGTTCAAACACTGTTAAGAGTCTCAGTTACAGTCCATATTTAATTATAAATTTAAATTCTTGGCACTGTTTGTTGCTCAAGCACCACCCACCCCACCTGTTTTTTTTCCCCTCTAGATTTATGGCATACACCATGGTGGATCTGTGCTGGAAGCTGTCCATCTGCTTTTTCTGCTGTCAAGTTGTCTCAGGAAGAGTTAAGAGGGAGGGGCATTATGTTGCTGCCGTGTATGAGCACGAGTCCATACTGAGTCCTAACCCGACAGCCCTGGTTGATCGACACTCTGCGCTGGAGCTTATGGGCAGAAATTTAGACATCTATGAGCAGCAAGTAGTGGCTGCTGCAAGACAGGTATGCCACAGCTTAGCAGCAGTTGCCTGTGTCCTATGTATATACAGAGTAAGTGCTATTTGAGGATAATCTTTCACATTTGTGTTCCCAGGCAACTAAAGCCATATTTATATACATAAGTACGGTCTGGTTTTTCAGACATTCTGACCTGCCAGCAGCTCTGAAAAAAATCAGGCTGATTAGCAGCTCGCCTAACTTGAGTTATTCCAAGCTTGGAAAAACATGTCTATAGTTATTTAGTATAGGGAAATTAATATTCTATTTTGGTCTGAATACCTAGCTCCTTTCTGTTTTCTTAAATGGAATGTTTTTATTTAAAGATTGTCTTACAGGCAGCTGTCTCTTTGGGTTTGATTTTTATTCCAGTGCTCTCAATGGAAATTCCTGAATGTTTCTAAAATCAAAGGAAGTTAAATATTTTTGAAATGAATGTTCCACCATTAACAACTTTGTGGAAATAAAGTTTTCCATTCCTTTCTCCTAACCTCCATGGAATGGTTCTCAGTCTAAATATATTTAGAGAAGAGAGATTCATATTTCTGGCTGTTCTTATGCACAGGCTTCTTTCCTTCCCTCCCCAAGAAAACCCAAAGCTGGTTCTACTCAAAGAAAGCAGGCATTACTGTCCCTACACAGAGAAGAATTGACTTGGAAGCTTCACACATCTGTAGTTTGGGAACAGAAGAATTACAATTTTTATAAAATTAGAAAAAGTGGTTGGTTGGTTTTGGGTTGTTTTTTTTGAGAGTGATGACTGGGTATCAGAGTCCAGAAGCATTATAGCTGTTTTTATGCAGTACTGCATCCAAGACACACAAATTATCCCAAGGCCGTAGCACAGATAATATGTTTGAACTGACTTCTGAACAGTCACAGGAATTTGAGTGACTGACACTGTTTCTGATTTAAGAGGAATCCACCACGTTTTTTGGAACAGATCCCCCTGAACTTCAGGTAGAGCCAGCCTAGCTCTGCAATGGCTATTTCTACCAGAATCTGCATTGCTTCCACAGTCAAGCTGTTTCTGAAAACAATGCTTCCAGTACCCTCTCTAACTCTATATACCTAGTCAGGGTATATAGCCCAGGATAAGTGATGCTGCACCTTTGAGACACAGATGAAGAACCTTTGACACAGATGCAATACTTTTGACAGAGTTCTTCTGCAAATGGCATAATTCTGAAGGAAAAAAAAAAGACAAATGGCAATATCAGTCTTTAACCTGAATGATGAATGTAGGATACTTTTGGTAAGAATTTAGTTGAAGTCTGCTCTTATTTGCATGCCCTTAAAATAATAGCAAATAGGTTCTTTTTCAAGCTCAGGTTATGCAGCAGGTTAAATAAACTTTTTATACACATTGTTACACCCACTGTGAAGTCAAAGAAAAGATATTTTCAAACTACATTCATGTCAAAACATACTTGGGTTATCCTTAACTTTCTTTAGCTCTTTTTAACCATGAGATTCCCTTTTTTCCCCTTCATATTTAAATTGGATTTGCTTTGCCTACAAAACATGCCTTTGTTTTACATACAGGGGGCACAGATCATAGTTTTTCCTGAAGATGGAATCCATGGCTTCAACTTCACCAGAAGCTCCATTTATCCTTACTTAGATTTTGTTCTGCATTCATCCTTTGTGAAGTGGAATCCATGCAGAGAGCCGTATTTGTTCAATGACACAGAGGTAAACGTAGCAGTGATTTCTGCAGAGAGGTGGAGTAACTGAGTGCTAGATTTGTGCTCCACATGGGAAACTAGCTCTATATAGTTTTGCTGAGGGAGGTAAGCAAGAAGTTCAACAGCTTGTAGTACCAGATTCTATTTTCATGAACTCTGTTGATGCTGGTTTCATTCTTAGTAGAGCAGGGTTATAGATACATACACCCAAGAAGATTAGCTTGTTCATGAGCCATCTAGACTTGTAATCTGCCCCTCCCCAACCTATGAAATGGTATTTACTCTCAAATAAGATACATTGTTAGTAGTGTGGGTTTTTATTTTGAACAGCATTGTTTTATATAAAACAATATAGCAGTATCTTCACTTCTGGTGCATTCATGTTCCTCAGTTTTAATGACTTAATTACATCAGAACATTCTGACTCAGTGACTGCATGTAAAATGATTAGCACAAGTAATAGGACTTGACCTGCTATAATGTAATAGAAGTCACAGCTTAGCACAGGCTGTGATTACAGAAGGTGTGACCTGCAAGTTACAAAATTATTATTTTCATTGGCAGTTCTGAACCTGAAATAAAAATAACCATGCTTAGTAGTACAAACTCTTATTAAGGTTGCAGTAGTCAATATAATGAGAGGCAGTAATCACACATGAGCCTACTAAGCAGAATTGGTGTGCAAACCTTAATCAGAGCTGTAAATGGTGACCTACTTTGGCCTGTGAAGCTTTACTACCAGTGCTCATGCACAAGCAAGCAAGAGCTTGGTTTGCCAGTCAGAGCCTATTTGGGGACTGCAGTACAGTCTTTGGTACAGCTCTCTATGGTGTGGAAGAAACATCTCAGTAATAACAGTAGTCTGTAACTTTTTGTATTTCTTTCCTATAACTAAGCAAAATCTATCCATTTACATCTCTGCTTCTGTAAGTTGTAGCTAGTAATCCCTGTTTTTAAAATTTAGAGTTAAAACATCTAGTTGCAGGAACAAGCCATTGCAGGTTCAAATGATTATTATTAGACGTTTGCTTTTCTAAAGGCACACACAGAAAAGTTATGCTGCCTTGTCAAAGCTTTCAGTTGACATGTGGTGTTTTAAAGCCATTGGTGCTCCTACAACAGTCAGAAGGTTCTGAAAATGAGTGCCCTTGAAATAGATTATTTCCTCACTTAGTTCTCAGGAAATAAAACCCAGATAAATTTTTCAAAGCTATTTTAAAATTACTATCTGAAATACTTTTCAGTCTAGAAAACTACCGGTTCCAATAGCTAACATCACAAAATCATCAGTACATTTAAATTTTACAGATAAAGTCAAATGTGTTCAATTTCCAGTTGAAAATAATAATTTGAGAAGTATTAAATATGTCACAGCTGCTTAAGTAAAACTTACCCCTGTATATTCTGAAGTGCTTACACTTCCCCATACTCTTCTCCAGGTTCTTCAGCGCCTGAGCTGCATGGCACTGAAAAACAAAATATTCCTTGTGGCAAACTTGGGAACTAAACAACCCTGCGAGCACACGGATCCTCACTGTCCATCAGATGGAAGATACCAGTTCAATACCAATGTGGCATTCAATGATGATGGTACGCTGGTAGCCACATATCGCAAACACAATCTCTATTTTGAATATGCTTTTGATACCCCTCCAGAGCCTGACTATAAAGTCTTTGATACTCCTTTTGCTGGCAAGTTTGGTATGTTCACTTGCTTTGATATACTCTTTTTTGAGCCTGCAGTCAACCTCATCAGACAACACAATTTGAAACAAATTGTATATCCAACTGCCTGGATGAACCAGCTCCCGCTCCTGTCTGCTGTAGAATTTCAACAAGCTTTTGCAACAGCTTTTAACATCAATATTTTAGCAGCTAATATCCACCACCCTACTTTGGGCATGACAGGGAGTGGCATATACACTCCAGTCAAGTCATTCATCTACCACAACATGGAAAGTTACGGTGGCAAGCTCATAGTAGCAGAAATTCCTGTGATTACCACAGATTACAAAACCAATTTGGAGAGTAATGAAAGATTCAGAGAGAACACACATCAGTCATGCAAGACTTTAACAGGCATTTCAATGGATGATCAAGTTTGCTTTAAGGAGGGACAGGAGACCCCTGGCAGAGCATCAGAAAAAGGAAATGAACAGTTACCTCCCTTATTTTATGCAGAAATGATGTATGACAACTTTACTTTTGTTCCTGTGTGGGGTGAAAAAGGAGAGCTCCAAGTTTGTGCCAATACCCTTTGTTGTTACTTAAATTATCAGAGAGCTGTTTTAACGGATGAATTATATGCTTTGGGAGTTTTTGACGGGCTCCATACAGTGCATGGCACATACTATGTCCAGGCCTGTGCGCTAGTGAAGTGCGGTGGTCTCAACTTTAGCACTTGTGGACAGGAGGTTACCGATGCCACTGCTCTGATAGATTTCCAGCTATGGGGAAATATGAGTACCCCTTACATCTTTCCTTTACTGCTGACATCTGGCATTACCCTGGACTTTGCTGATCACATGGGCTGGAAAAACAACCACTATTTCATGAGCAAAAATAGAACATCTTCTGGCCTACTGACAGCTGCTCTATATGGACGATGGTATGAAAAGGATTAGCAGATACTTGACTGAATCAGAAAACAGCTGCCCAATGTTCAGAGTATATATCTTAGCATAAGTTGTTGAACATCTGTACTGCCTAGAGCTTCAGGTATGCTGCCTATATGACTGATTGGTTAGATTCCACATTTGAAATGATAAGCAAAGTGCTTAAGCTTAAAGGCTGTAAGTACAGTCTGTACCTTGGTAGCATATGTCCTACCAGAAGTAAAAGAACTGCCTTGCAAAGATAAAGTTTGTTGTAATGTGTTGAGATGTTTTATACTGGGAAAATAATATTTCTAATTCCAGCTGAATTTGTTTTTTTCTGATTTATTCCTTTGGTTTTCTGGGGTCCTGGCTCTGAGTATGGAAATGAATGAAATGGAAAACCATTGCAAAAGAAAGAAAAATAGGAAAAGAAATGAAGACGCAAATACTGTGCATGACATGCATGAAAATGTATCTATATACATACATATAGCTTGTATATAGTAAGGTTCTGATTTCTGGTTAGGGTGCTGTGATTTATTTATTTTTTTCTTAAGAGTCAAAAACTCCCAGCTGGCCACTGGCTATTTACTGGTCACTCGGTTGTCTGCAATCCTGTTAGAAAACTCTTGAGTTTTCTCACACACTTTTAACAGTTACAGTTGTGAACATCTATGAAACAGTCTGAGGAAGAGGATATCAAATGATTGTGAAAAACTAGACTGCATGAAGACAGTTTCCAGCCTACTGTGAGAGGAATTGTGTTTAAAGAAAAGGTCAGCAATGAGTATCGACAACTGTGTTCTGTACTGTTTAAGTACTTCAGCTTTTCCTGTTTAAGAGAGGTCATTTCAAGACTGTTTTGACTTTAAGACATCTTACACATTGTTCATAAATTCATTCAACAAGAGCTATGAAAAGCACATAATGAATTGTGGGGCAGCAAGGTTTTTACATAAATACTTTGTGTGCCAGATGGCAGGTTCCTGCTGCTAAATGAGTAAAACACACTGTTGTTTCCAGAACAATAACTACATGAAGTGCTATAAATATTGAAGTGCTATAAATATAAAAAGTTGGGAAGAGAATATTCAAAGCATATTAATCTAGGGTTAAATTCAGAGAAGATAATTTTATTCTCAAGTGTTACAATTCTGTGTGGTCTTATTGGCCATTATGACTTCATCTGTGCAGTAGCTGTTAAGTAATGGAATCAACACAACTCTTCCTTTGGTGAATTCTCATTCCAGTTGCTCAGGCTGTTAGTTGCAGTCCAGAGGCCAGGAGGAGCAAAGCGTTAACAGCAGAGCTGCAAGTCTTCGTGTCAGTGGTCTGAGTAAGTTCCGAACTGGGTTCAAACTCAAACCATGATGGCAGCTACAAGTACACACTGGTTTCAGAAAGCTAAACAACCAAGCAATTGCTGAATTTCTGCCTCAAGGTTTCTTAAATATTTACACAATTAAGAATATAAATATTTATGATCTTGGGCTCTATCAAACCTTTCTTCTCCAAGCTGTATTATTGTGAGCGAGGACCCAGTCACACTCAGTCTGGATACAGCAGCACAACAGGTTTGTTTATCCTGAAGCATATATTGGACAGAAACATGGAGAGGGGAATGTCTGTATCTCGTTAGACCTAAGCTTGCTGATGCAAAAGTAGGCCATCCCACCACATGGTTATTAAAAATCATTACTTCTTTGGCACCTACAGTGGTGTTCTTGCAAAATCCCGCACAAATTCCAGAATGTTACAGGGTAAAACAGAGAAGCATTTCTCAGGGTAAAACAGAGAAGCATTTCTGGTGCTTATTGTGCTTCTGGTTCTTGTACCATAATGACCAAGTCAAAAAGAAAGGTGCAATGAGTGTCTGGAGAATTTCAGCTCTCGGGACAAGCCTCCCCACCTCACTTTTTAGGCTGAAAAACATGCATCCTCTTGTACTAAATACTGTTTTGGATTTAGTTCCAAAGCAGACTGTTACTATCACAATAAATTAGGCTAAATAAGTAAATAGTATTACAGGTATTTGCTACACTTAAGGACAATGCACTTATCTGTGAGATACTTACAAAGTATGCTCCACAGAGCTATTCTAACTTTGAGTATGGCAAAACTACTAGAAAACAAGACATCCTGGCCTCACTGTTTGCATGGGGCATATTGCAGTCTCCTTCCTGAGAAGGGCAGGCTTAAGTAGTAGAGTGTGTTCTCGTACTTTGTTACCTTCACCCAAAAAACCAGCCTTTAGCAAGGAGACACTGGAAGCAGCAAAACAGACTGTACCGGACATGATGGAGAATTGCCGCTAAGTAACTCCCCTCCTCCACCATCCTTATCTTTGAATGACAACAGATGTATCCATTCTGAAAAGGGATAACCAGGCACTAACCTACAACACTCACCAACACCGAGTGGCAGCTTTTGGAAGTCTGTGCTGAAACAGCAATCCCAGTGCTGCCCTGCTGAAAGCCGCCCCGCTCCCCGACAACCC